GGACCATCGAGTAAGTAACTCAGTTGTTAGGAAACTGGTACTAGTTAAGGATGACAAATAAATTGATGAAGTAGTGAAACTTAATCAGTTAAGATGGCTGGGACATGTGTTACGCATGCCCGACCACCGACTGCCCTGAAACTCAAATGTATTGCACTTTACACAATCAGCCCAATTAATTATCATTAACACATCTATTATTCAGTCATTATCAAAAATGTTCTGATTTTGAATACTTTAGATATACCAATATTTGATCATTTGTGTCCTGGAGCATTGTTGTAGGAATTCTAAATCAAGAATTATAGATAGATGTGAAATTAAACAATTTATATATATTTTGACAAGGTAAATATTGCATACATACATAATTCACTGATTGATATCATCATAATTTTTGTATTACTCACCACTGGTATATATTTATTAGTAATCTCTAACTGGTTTTACCTGATTCATGACAAACCACATAACTGTGGTTACTAGTGGTTAGTTGTTCTGATAGATAGATTATTGAGTTTGGTGCCTGACAGAGTTGTTAACGCACACTAGTAAAGTTTCTTGAGTTAAGGCGAGGGAAGTGATCAATGCTCATCAGTTCAAAATGTTACTATGAAAGAGATCAGTCACTGATGAATATCACCTATGTATTTGTGACGAAAACCCAGAAATTTTCTATTTTTTGTGTTCATATCGGAAATTTTCTCTCTAGTCTTAATCGAAGATCTAATAGATTTTATTACGATTAAAAATGATGTTATTTCGTTCAAATAAGGAAAACATTATCTTTGACAAAGCCAAGAAATTTCCAGTTATGAATGTAAATCAGAAAGTACATACGCAAAACATATACACAACGCGAATAACTATATGTTGTGAGTCTTTAAATTCAACCATCACAAAGAATTCATGAAATTTCATTCAGATCATTCTCGATTTATTATATCATAAAATATATATACATTTATGTATACATTCTGAAAATCTTTACTATTGTGGTGTATGCTACTGATATAGACAGATGTAAGTAGTATGTATCATCAATTGAAAGTGAAATACCTGGTGGCAGAATATTAAGAAGATCAAAGAGAAAAGAACGAGAAGAGATAGTGATTGACACAGAAAAGAAGGATCAGTCAACTCTAAGATAATTGATTGACATTTTGCAAATGAAGAATTTACTGTACGGTTCTCAGATTTTACTAAGAGATTTTGTAATGTTGCACTAAAGTACATCTGATTATCTCCTCTTGTGTCCTCGTTCAATGCAGCAGCACCCACGGACTTCCTAATAGCTTTTACTGCATCAACAATCGAAGAAATCAGTATGGCCATCAGACAAATCAACAGTAAGAAAGCAGCTGGATCTGACAATATATCAGCTGAAGCATTGGAATTATACATAAAAGAACTGCACATATGCTTCACATTCTATTCAAGAAGATTTAGCAGGAAGAACAAGTGCCACTGACAGACTGGAAGTAAGGGAATCTCATCAAGATATCAAAGAAAGGAAATCTGAGCAACTTCGAGGACTACATAGGTATCACATTATTATCGACACCAGAAAAAGTTTTCAATAGATTGTTGCTGAACCGAATGAAAGATTCAATAGACGCCCAACTTCGAAGTCAACAGAACGGATTTTGTAAGGTTCCGTTTTGCACAGATCAAATCGCGACACTAAAGATCATCGTTGAACAAACAATCTAATGGATCTCGTCACTATACATCAACTTCCTTGATTATGAGAAGGCGTTTGACAGTGTGTATAGGAGAATCTTATGGAACCTTCTTCAACACTATTAAATGAGTACCTGAGAAAATCGTCAACATCATATGGAATTCATATGCCAAACTACACTGCAAAATGGTGCATGGAAAACAGCTGACAGAAACATGCCAAATAAGGACCGGGGTCAAGCAAGGCTACTTGCTCTCCACTTATCTATTTCTCTTCTTCATCATAAATAAAAACCTACACAGAATTCTGTTTCCTTTTAACGATATAAAACTTTCAACTGTGAACAACAGTCGTTTTCAAGTCTAAAACTACGTTCGTTCTGTTTTGATTTTTACGTAGTATGACGTTCTCACAAATGGTATATTGTAAATTTAAGTAGAAAATTTGATTTGTTTTACAAATGGTAATTAATGTATAACATAGATTTTGACTTTATATTGTTGTTTTTTTAAAGATCATATGAAGTGTATAGCCATTAGTGATTATCAGTTTTTATATGTACGGTATTTAAATTTAAAACAGTACTTTATTACATCTATGAAGTCATTCTAGATCACGTGAGATTACTTATATCTATGGAAACATATTTCTAGTTTATTAACAAAACGTTCCTCAAGGTCGAAGGAAGAGAGGAAGACCAAAGAATACATTACGCCGAGAAATGGAGATAGATATGAGAAAAATGAACAAGAATTGGATGGAACTTGAAAAGAAGGCCCAGGACAGAGTGGGTTGGAGAATGCTGGTCGGTGGCCTATGCTCCATTGGGAGTAACAGGCGTAAGTAAGTAAGTAAGTAAGTAACAAAACGTTCTGTAAATGTATATCTCTGATTTATTTTATTGACTAAACAGATTGTGCATATTTGTAATCCTATCAAATGATCACAGTTATATGAATAAATTATAAGACATTATATTTACTTACGCCTGTTACTCCTCGTGGAGGAGCATAGAATGCTCACCAGAATTCTCCATCCAACCTTTTTCTGAGCAATCCTTTCCAGCTCTTTCTAGTTCTTATTCATCTACTTCATATCTACTTCTATTTCCCGATGTAATGTGTTCTTTGGCCTACTTCTCCGCTTCTCTTTATGATTCCAAGTTACGGATTGCCTCGTGGTGCAGTTTGATGATTTGCGTAATGTATGTTCAATCCATTTTCATAGTCTTTTCCTAATTTCATCTTCATCTGGAAGCTGATTTATCCTCTCCAACAGAAGGTTGTTGCTGGTGGTATCTGCATAGATAACTATTTATAATTACTTGTACCTTCTTGATGACGATTAACCTTATCAGCTTAGTACGATGATCTTTCAAATTCATTTTGATCCCATAACTCAGATTATGTATTAATTTAGAATTACTGATTATATTCCATCATTTACCTAACTAATTTTATCACCTTAAGGGTTATAGACACAAATACTTGATAGTCCATTGCTTATTAAACAAACTAATTATTAAATAAGAACTTTCGTCTAATTTCGATCGAATAATTTCACAGTATTTGAGCGCCAAGTTGATGTGTATGATTAAAGTGGAAATAGCTTGGACCAGATTGCCAGGAAAAACGTTGAATTTACTTCAAATTCTTTCGCTGAGATTTTACAAATACATCCTTCCTCTTTAATGTCAAACTAATTTTTGTTAGGCGTACAACCAGATAACTGAGGCAACGAGTTAGTGAACATCTCTCTTCATGATTAGGAAAAACTATCGCCAAAACAATTTTTTGCTTATATATATTGTTCTAATTCACAGTATGGGAAGTTAATTATTGTCTTATAAGATTAATTTTAATGAATACATCACAACGTTATAAATATTTGAGATAAACTTCTACAGACTAAGTTTAGACTTCATTATCTAACTCTGTTTTCTCAAAAATAATTTATTACTTTATAAGTGAAGATGGATGGTGGCTAGTATTGCAATCTAGGTAGTGCGTTTCATCCTATTTGAGACTCGTCAGCTAGATATACCTGCATTCTGAACAACAATGGGAATATATCAACAAACAATATCAAGTGAATTTCGATTTTATTACTCTTCAAATACACAAATGACATTTATTATAAATTTTTTCTCATTTTCATTTATATACAATATTATTTTGTAATTGGGTAACTGAGTACTTAAAATTGGATTTTGACAACTGATACAATAAATCAGATTTGTTTTACTATATATCACTGATATTGTGCTTGATACGAAATACCTGAACTAGAAACTGTTTCCCAGAAAAAAAGTAACATAGTCTTTATTGACAGGTAATTCCCATTTAAACATTAAAAACTCAAAGTTCTGCAAACGGATCTCTTTTCAATGAATTTATTATCAAACTGTACAACCGTACAACCGTCTGTTCGCCACCATGTGCATCTACCAGTTCACCTGCTCTTGTGGAGCAAAGTACATTGGCCGTAGCCAGCACTAAGTTTCAACTTGGATAAGGGAACACGTCCCAGTTTGGTACTACAAGGGTGCGAGGAAAGTTGTTAGGAGTTGTATATTTGAACATCTAATCGACTGTGATCATTCTGCGGATCCACAGTTTGATTTTATGGTTGTATATACGATTTTCCCAACCTATCTAGATTTCTTCGTATTCAACTACGAAAATAGCCTAAGCTCTACCTGTCCATGAGCTATCGTTCTATTGGCCTTAATTACTATTATTATTACTGCATTCCTCCTTTATTTATGTTGTAGTGTCTGTTATTATGTTAAGCCCAAATACCTTATTCAAGCTTTCGGACAGCCCATTCTATTCATTCTACTTGAGTCACACTCTAACCTTGTTAATTATTCGCTTATCAATCTTGACCGCTTTCATATGAGCGCGTAGGCGTGTGTTTACTTCTTATCCTATTCATCACATGTTTGTAACTTATTTTCGTGTGCTTATAAATATTGATTAACGCTTGGTTGAATGGGGAGTTGGCTTACCAGCCATCTCCACCGCTCGTCAGTTTTGCTTCTCTTTCTTCTCTTCGCATCGTTCCCCCGTTAGTTTGTCTAATCAACGATTATACAAAATATATGTATCCAAAGTCCATTCTCGTTATTTGACTTATTTAATTCCGTTATTAACTAACGCAGTTTAAGTCGATGATTATATACGAGGATAGGCGACATATATATTTCAATAACAATCATTCATGCGATCTACTTGGAGTCAGATCTCGGGCCACTAAAGTGGAGAGCCCTTCGATAAAATCGTCCGATCTAAGTGATTATACAAAACAACGGGCTCCACAATGTCTGATCTTCTCATTATTTTGTTTGTAAATGTTCATCATATCACTTTATTTTTTACACCTCTATGACCTTTAATGACCTTTAATTATTGTAACAAAAACATTTTAATTATCTTATTACATTTATGTCATAATTCGTTACTAATTTATTAAGTCTGTTATTATTTGCATTAAGGAATCTAGTATTATAATCTGTCTATTACATCATCTTGGTTATTCTTTGTTCACATTTCCTCACGGAATTAGTACAAAACTGAAGTTATTCAGATTTACAATAAGACAACAACATCAACAACAACAAAACTAATAATAAAAGAATCACATAATTAATTCAAAATTCAAAATCTAATTCAATCAATCAATGTTTACTGTTTACAATGTATCAGCGACTATTTATTGTTTAAATATAATATTGATATAGAAATTCAGTAAACAAGTCATTAAACACATTCTGTTCTAAATAAAAGGACCGATTTTCTATCGACAAAGAAATAAATCAATCCTTCATCTACATGACTGACATTGCTAAAATACAAAAAAAAATAATAAAACAGAAAGGGTTTTTATGAAACTAGATCAGATCTAGATATAATAGATCTGAACAATCAGAGAGGGATTCAATTGACTCAACCATTAAAAAGTTACTATAATATCCACAGAAACCTCTCTCTGATTACAATCATAATAAGCTCAATAGTAATGGTCTCCAAGAAGCATTTCCTGAAGTTCAAGTGAAAAGCCATGATTAGTGGAGTTCAGCCGGGTCTGTTGGGAGATAGTTACTTACTGAAGTCGATGGTGGACGGTGGCGCAACTTCATGGATTGGTCGAAGTTAAACATTAGCACCACTGGATGCCGACTCGGTGGTCTAAAGGTTAAGCGTTCGTGCGCGAAACCGATATATTATGGGTTCGAACCTGCTCAGGGGTCCCATACTAGGACGAAACGGCCGTCTAGTGTTTGCAGATTTTCCATGGTGGCTTAGCTTCAATTTACTCATGAATCCAACTATTAAAAAATATCCGAATAAGTTGTTTTTAATATTACACCTATGATGATTTATTTTTGACTACTGAATATAATTATTTTTTTATATATTTGTAACTATAGTGACGAAACTTTGTAACGTTAATGATGATGAATGTTTAATTCATTCAAAACAATTTTATAAACTCTGAAAATGTAGAAGTTTGTGTTGATGATGCTCAGAGAACAAAACTCCTTCAAAATCATCCATCTGATATGTATATCTTCTATACTGTCTCTGACGAAGTAAATGATAAAAAAATTACAAACAAATATTGATAACTAGTGTAATCAGAGTTTTCCCATTGGTTAAATATATATCACTCATAGATATGAAAGTAAGTTATGGTATTTAAACTCTTTAAACGATGATATCGTTTGTTAGTGCTGTTTACTGTCAACAGAATCAACATTTTCGTTATCATGTATTTTGTAATGTTTATGTAAAGCAAAGAATTTTCAGTTAAAGGAATTAAATATCATTGTGGACGTGTTTATATTAATAACAATCAATAGAGTAATACAGAAAAAATAAAGTGTCTTTTTATTTGACATTAAAAAGTTGGTATTTTAACTCAGATTGTAGTACCTAGGAATCAAGGAAATCAATATACTTTTGAATAGTAGTTAACCATAGTATCCAGAGGGCTCTTTTCGTCCTATATAACTATCTATAATCAGTAGCTTGATAAATTATACGTTGATGTTTTAACTAATCGATTCTAATTTCAAGTATAACTGTGAACAACGTTACATCCAGTTAATGATTCCTAACTAAAGAGAAAAGCGCTTGTTGTTAGTTTATAAGTACAAGCAGTATCAAGTCATCTTCTTAAAGAGTCTATATGATGACAATGATTGATCAAACTCAGTTATGAAAATGAACAATAAAATAAATTAGACAATTGCTACTAAAACTAATTTCACAACATATGAAGATAAAAAGAGTAGCAAATTAACAATATAAACATTGTTTTCAATAGAAACTTTCGTCTAAATTTAAACGAATAGTTTCACAATATTTGGGCGCTGAGTGAATGTGAGACATTAAAGAGAAAGAATGTATTTGTAAAATCTCATTAAAAGAACTTGAAGTAAATCCAACGTTTCGGCTGGCAATCTGATCCTTGAAAAAACTTGGACCAGATTGCTAGGCGAATTCTTTCACTGAGATTTTACAAATACATTCTTCCTCTTTATTGTTTTGAATAGTTTCAATAATCAAAAAAAAAAAAATCTTTCTTTACATAAAAATTTTAAATTATATATATATATATTACCTTCCATAATTACTTCCAACAATACAATGCCATGTACGTCCATATTTATCATTAAATTCTCTTTTTAATGAACTAGCTACATCTTTATCATGTCGAAGAATTCTCATTGCTTTTAGACATGATTTAATAGCATGTTCTTGCATTTCATTTGGCATTCCAGTACTTTTTACAATTACTTTTTGTGCTTCCATTATGAATAAAATTTAAGAGATAATAGTTATTATTATAAATTAAATGTATATACTTAGTATCATTCACTATTTGGCATTTATCACAATTTACAAGTAATTCAATCTAATTTAATGCTTTATATGTACATAAATTGATACAAATTAATTGGTCATATGTTTATTATTATGATTACTTGGAATAGTGTATATTGTATGTTGTTAAGTATATATGTATGTATGCATGTATGTGTGTGTGTAAGGGTATGTGTAAAACATCTTGTGAAATGTCTCTTGATATTACTAATTCAAGAATAGAAACAATTTCTTAGTTTCTATATATTCAATGAAAGTTTTGAATTTTCTCCAATAGTATTTAAAAAAATGTATATCTTAGCACCTATTAAAATGATGAATCAAAGAAAACACAATATACAACATTTTTATATGTGTAGCATATATTGAGTTGGTGGAGAAGTTTTGTAGCTCAGGTGGATCGTTGAAAGTTCGATGAAAGTTCCACGACCAAACCATCCACCTCTGAGAACAAAACTCCATCAATATATATATATATATATATATATATATATATATATTGTACAGAGCATTCCCAAATGACTTTTATTTATCTGCATAGATCTCAATCTGTAATTATCGGTATAATTTTTCTATATTGCCAACAACCATTTTCAATTATTGACTAACGATCTTTAAAAAAATTCAGTTTGACAAGTTAAATCAGTCAGATAAAGTTTTATTTAATTTGCCAAGTATTATTCTCGTAAGATATAACAATATGGTTATACTAATAATATCGATGATTATGAAGAGCATATTGTATGAAATAAGCTTATACAACCTAATGAATATTTATCTTGGCTGTACAGTGTGCATTGATTCGTCCTTGATACCTGAATGCTCTGATATGGCCGAGGGTGAAAACAGTCAGTTTTCCTTCTCGAAATACTCTCAAATGGCCACTCGTATATAGCCACTACCAGGCAAGTCCGACTCACTGCCCTTTCGTGGGGAGATTGTTGTTTACGAAATTGAGAGGACAATAAGCGAATGTCCAGCGCTTTAATCGGGTTGATGCACACGAAGAGTCCACCCAGAGGAGTTGGAAAACCCTGATTCAAAAGCAATGGTGCACATGGACTCCAGGATCTTGAAGGAACAAATGGCATATGAACCAATTGTTGGTCACAGGCTACCATGTGAGTGCATCTCCTGACGTTCCTTTACTGCCTTATGGACCAGACGTTTAAGTTAAAGGCTCTGGGTGTGGCCCCCTAAGTAAACCATGTGCTTCGTTTTAGGCACCCGGGCAGTATCCAAGTACTCACACAAATCGAATGATTTATGAGGCGCATATTTATTTGGTGCCTCCTTGTACCAATGTTTATGTGTTTAAATAAAATAAATGATAGTCTATAATATTGTATCTATCAAATTTCTGATGCTACTATTAGTTAAAGCTTAAGGTAATTTATGTGATGAATAATAAATAATTTTGACTAAATGTAGATCTGGTTCTTCCTGTCATCTAAGTATATTTGAGCAAATGAGTAGTATCATTAGTCTTTGCATAAACAGTGTTGCTTGAAAAAATAATGCATAAATTTGAATTCCATAATATCAATCACGAACTTTTGTTTCAAAAATGAAAAAGATCTTGACGACTACTTGAAAAAACGTTTTATGTTTATCATTGAAATAAATTTTCAGAAGTTCAAACTGGAATCTTGGTCTTGTGGAGCTAGTGATGTCAAGGTTAAGACTATAACACTAGTGACACTTGATGAATATCCTTGTATATTATAGGTTAATTGAACTTGTAATTGTAAATCATTCGATTTTTAAAACAATCTCAATCCTATTGAAACCACTTCTACTGAATACAATCCTATGAAAGAATGAATTTATTTACTGCTGACAATTGCCAAACCATGATATATTCATTTTCCAGGAATCTTCAATTTCTAGCTTATAATCGTTTATAATACAACATTTCACATACATAATAAACATTAAAGCAAGTATTGTTATTTCATTTTGACGTAGTAATTAATCTATTTATTGTTCAGATAGTTTTCTGTGCAAGTATAGCTTTTTTCTATAGTCTTGTAATTTATCCTTGTGATAGATATTGAAACTAGAAAGAAAATTTCCAGAAACATCACTCCAATTTACGTCACATTGTATATCAATGAGTGAATCAATAAATTCAAGTTTGTTCAGTGACCATTTGCTATTTATAAACTTCTATCTGAAGTTTGGGCTGATGATATCGTTCAGTAGAAAGATGAAAGTTCCATGACTAAACCATCCAGCTCAGAGAACAAGACACCATCAAAATACTAATTATAAGTAACAGTCTATAGGTTAATAATCTATAAAAATTCTATAATAATTAAAACATATTTGTTGTCATAGTTGGTAGATCAGCATTTTTTTAAAAAATTTTCTATTCAGCCATTAAAGTTCAGATTTTCATGTGATCAATGGTTTCTGATTAAAAGCCAATATAAAAATAAATAAAACTGATTTTTTTTAAAAAACAAAATATTAAGTTTCATAAAAAGAAATAGAACCTTCCAAGCATAAAATATTTTGAGTTATTTCTATACGTTTCTAAATGTTTTATTAGAAAACTTATATACGTATATGGCGTATATTACTTATGTCAACATAAGTAGTATATAACACCAATCAGAAGTGGAATGTTTGGCATCAAAAGTTTGAAAAGAATGAATCAAAGAGAACGGAGATATAGAATAAGTTCGAGAAAATTGATGAAGGATTTACAGAAGAAGTATTGAACGTATGGTTTTTATATTTTACTGAAGAACTCTATATTTTGTAAAAATATATATATATATATATATATATATATATATATATATATATATATATATATATATATATATTAGTTGTCCTCACTTATGTTCTCATTCACAGTACATATAATGAAGGTATAGTTTAAATATATCAACTTTTTCTATACCAGATGTTGATTGGAATATATTTACAGGTTTGTTTATTTGTCAATTACATGTAAGCGCTGTAATCGATTTTTATTATTCTTCCTAGATTTTTTAAATTTGTACAAGTAAATGGTTATCAGGACTCAGTAACTAGGTGGATAACGCGATGGCGTTTGAAACAAGCAGTACTAGGTTCGAGTCCCAGAGTGAACATTAGTTCTGAGATGCAGGTATGTCCAGCTGACGAGTCCTAAATAAGATGAAACACGCGTCCTAGATTTCACTGCTAGCCACTATCTTTGCTTATTATGCTTGTGAATTAAGGCAATATTGAGGCGATTCATACAGCATGCACATATGCCAATAAAAGAACTGGTCAATTGCAGTCCTAATCATCAATGGGAAGATTCAAGTAAAACATAACCCAGTGAATTTGACTTATATAATCTAACAGTAATTTGGTGAAACAATTTACTTGTCATGTTCCACTGAATCTTACTTATTTACCTATGCCTGTTACTCCCAATGGAGCAAGAGCCGCCAACAATCATTCTCCAACCCACTCTGTTCTGGGCCTTCCTTTCTAATTCTATCCAATGGTTGTTCACTCTTTCCATGTCTATCTCCATTTTTCAAAGTAATGTGCTCTTTGATCTTCCTCTCCTCATTTGGCTTTGAAGATTCCATGTGAGAGCTTGCCTAGTGACACAGTTGTGTGCTTCCTTCAATATGTATCCTATCCACTTCCAACGATTCTTCCTGGTTTATTTCTCATCTGGAATCTGGTATATTCTCTTCCACAGTAGGTTGTTCCTGATAGTGTCTGGCCAACGTATCCGAAATATTTAGCGTAGACAACTGTTATTAAACAATTGTATCTTGTGGATGATAGGTTTCATAGTTTTTCAAGTTTCCGTCCCATACATTAGAACTGTCTTGACTTTGATTTCAGTTTCAAATGTTCTTCAGTTGTAGATATACTGTTCTTGCTTTGCTGATCCATGCCTTCACTGAATAATTTTCATATATTCTTCTACCTACTAATCGCTTATTTTTTAATTTAAATATCATATGTTAAAAGAACTGTTTAGATTTCTGATTTTCTTAATGGAAATTATACAAGTAACTTATTTTTGAAGACAAAAACCAAAAGACTACACAAATATATGATAAATATATACATCAAGTTATTTAATATTCTGATTATAAACATTTACCATGATATACAAGGTTACAAATATGATTGTATTTAGTCTTTGATTTTTGTATAAATTAACTCAGATATGTATATATATATATATATATGCATATGTATATGCATATACAGAATGCATATGTAAATTTAATCTTTCTAATCTGTACAATCTCAAATAGTTTTATGTGCTGTTCTCATTAACCAATCTTTTGAAAGTTTTATTCTTTTTTTTTTTTTAATTAAATCAAGGTAAATAGTCATAACATAAATGTAAAGATATTATTCGTTTAGTTGAAGTTATGTTACTAAATGTTAAACTTTGTATTGTTTCGGGTCAGTATGGAACAATCTACTGTCTATACACATGCATATATATATATATATACATGTTCATGTAAATAATAAGAGTCTTATTGTACACTTCCTATAATTCTTTATCATTGAATTTTTAATCATTTCAAATTAAATTTGATAATAATATGGAATGTAAAAAAGCTGTTGTTAAAAATGCTGATATGTCAGATGATATGCAACAATGTGCTGTTGATACAGCTGCTCAAGCAATGATTGAATATAATATTGAAAAAGATATTGCAGCTTATATTAAAAAACATTTTGATAAAAATTATGGTCCAACATGGCATTGTGTTGTTGGTAAAAATTTTGGAAGGTAAAACTATTTTTTTATTATTTTTTGAAGTGTTTTCTTTGTTTGGTTGGTTTTTTTTTGTTGTTTTTTTGTTTTTTTTTTATCAATATTGTTGGATTACATTATTTGAGATATTACAAAAAGGTTTTGTCAGATAATCAATTATTGTAGTCGATAATTTAAGTTGTACAATGTTACAGAACATTTAGAAAAACAATGAAAACTCCACGATCAACTCATCTAGGTCAGAGAACAAAACTTCATCAAAATTATCCACCTGAGTAACAAATCTTCTCCACCATCTATAAATTATTTGTTTCATCCAGGATATAACATTTATTGTTTTTTTTCGAAAAGTTGTTATGTAATTAAGTAAATATAAAACATGAGAATTGGCATAATCTTTTAGTTTACTGTGATCGGAAATATGGCTCATAAATATACTACTATTGAATAATTCAGTATAATTTGAATCAATAATCTAGAGGTAAAATTTTATTTAAAATAATTTTTTTAACAAAATTAGATTTCAACAGTTGAAATGATGAGTGAATTGAAGCTAGAACATTATGGAAATCCTGGAAGCGACTCATTAGCAGTGCGTATCCACGATCCCGCTTAGCGAGATTCAAATTCAGAACTTACCAGTGTCGCGTACGAACGCTTAACCTCTATACCACTGAGCCAGCATCAAATGGTATTATTGTATGAATCTTACAAAAATTAGTTTTGCTCATCATATTTATATTATTGAAATCGTAGTAAGTTTATTTTAGACAAATTCGTGAAAAACCATACAGAAAACCAAACAATTAAGTCTAAATTGTCAATATCATTGAATAATAAATAATTTTTTTTGTTATATTTTAATGTGTAGAAAAACATTATCTTTTCTCTGAAGAAGCGATTTACACTAAGTGACGAAACTTTAGAAATACAATTTTTATATTTATATTTATTATTAAGTTTCTATCCAATGCTCAATATATTTGAAGCTATCAAGTCCAACTTCGGCATTCATACGTACAAACTTATGTCATTTAGTTACAGCTATATTGTAAATAATTTTATTATTTATTTTAATTGTAAAAATGTTTGTTTACTTTTTTCTAACAATACTGTCTAGTAAATTGTTTGTTTTTCTTAAATAAATACAATAATACCTTAGTAATGGTGTGTTAATTACCAATAATGATTTATTATATTAGATTACACAATTTAACGTGTTTTTACAAAGTTTGTTTTCTAATGGAAGGAGTTGCTGACCCCATACTTAACCGTCTTTTATTTTACTCCGGCTCAAGATCAACAATAGCCTTTGATAAGCAACAAGCAGAGTTCCATTACACTGAGTTAATGTTTATTCATGATATTTAATAATTTTCCTTGTTTATATATATATATAATATTCAATAAACCATATTATATGATGGTATCATTATTATATTTACTTTTGATTATTTATTCTTTATTTATATAGTTACGTAACACATGAAACCAATAATTTTATTTATTTCTATCTACAAAATGTTGCGGTACAATTATTTAAATCAGGATAAATAATCAATAACACAATTTATATAATTCAATGCACATATTCATTTGTTTTCAATTAGTAGAATTACAAAAACAACAACAACAAAAACAAAAAAACAAAGAAAAAAGAAAAAGAAGAAAAAGAAAAGAAAAAAAAGACAGTTTTAATTCATTCTGTATACATTAATATTGTTCAATAAATCATTCATAAATTTGTTTGTATTTCATAATTAAATTAATAAAAATTATAATTAAAATTAATTATGAATAATATAATTTAATAATTGAATTCATGAATTGATCAAAATTAGACTGTTATGGGAAAACTTGAAAGCATTAGAACGATCGTTTCATCCTAGTATAAGACTCCTCAATATTGAACATCTATGATCCTGCTCGTTATGTAAATAAAACAATCTTCTAGATGTATTGAAAAATTACTATATGAAATAGAAAGTTAATAAGGTTATCAAGTATGCTCAATGTCAAGTAAAAAGCACAATTAATTTACTAATAAACTCAAGTTTCAAAGAAACGATCTATGAGTTAACATATTTGGTATTTAGGTTTTGATTGATTTGTTGTCACGTGTTGGACTGTCTGATAAGCATTATCAACTTTCATGGAAGATCTTTCACAAATCTCCTTACATAAACCTGAAAGTAATCACTGATTTGTGTTTGTCATCATTATCCACAACGGAGTTAGTGTAAAGTATCAGTACATAGCGAGGTTTAATTAGTGGGTTCATTAATGAAAACGATTAAACATTTAAAATTCCTATAATCTCATTTATGAAATGGGATATATTTAAAAGTGTAGGCACACTAAAGGCGTTTTCAAAGGAGAAGTTAGCATTGATGTAGTGAATAAAGGATGGGTGTGATTTTATTTCACGGACGGATTGTGGTAAATTATTACAGTCTCGAAAATTTACTAGTGAACTAATTCATATAAAGAGATTTAGGATGAGATTGTTTTACTGATGACAAACAGTAACAGATGCTATAATTGTGTGTTTCTGAACATTGAGTGTAAAACATAGTTTATCAAGTATTTTGGACAAAATGATCAGATTTAATTCGAGTCTCCTCTTCCAAAAAGGGTAGAGTCGAAGTTTATTACATCTGGACATATAATTAAGGTGGAATCAATCATAAGAATATGAGGTGTAAATCGTCACTGAACGGCTTTCAGTTTTAATTGATATCATATGCGGACAATACTAAGAATAAACTTGCAGTATTTTAAGATTAGTCGAACACATACTTTGTAAGTTAAAATACGTGACTCGTTGAAACAGAGGTGAAAAATTGTGTAAACTAGACGACGTTGAGATTTGGTGTTGTATTTCGAGATTTGATGGATGAGGGAAATTAGTAGGAACACTTGGGTCCCAGGTCCACTACTTTATGAAGCTTGAATAACGTCTCACAATTTATGGTTGGGTCTAGGTTTCGTAAAGTATTATCAAAGCATATTTGTCTAAATCAAGCCGTATTAAGCCCCAAATTCCATCATGATCACAGCTGGCTATCTTGTCGAGTCCCGTGCTTATTCAATTTTACAAGTCGCTCAAATCATGAGGATAAAATAAATACACCACTTAAAGATCATCTAGATATAGAAGAGGCCTACCCACACAAAAGCTGTTAAATCATAACGAAGGATAAATGAGTTGTAACTGCTAGGATTCATTTATGCACTATTGTAACATGTATTCATAATGTCTAACGATTAAACAACTATGTTATATATATATATACTCCTTTTATTATAAGCTTCCATTTGACCTATTATACGATTTAGTATTCTTAAGTTATTCCCAATTTATTAGTTACAGTATTCCATATTCGCAGTCATTTTTGAACTGATCTTGTATAACTGTTATTTTTCATTCTATGGGGTGATGTGGCCTGGTTTGCTGGTTTATGAATAAAATATGTCCGAAATATATGATTCATACAGCAGAAGCTGTGTTCTGAACTCAACAGGCAGGGCTAGTCGGGAAGGACCAATAAGGGCTCTAGGCTGGTCGTAACGGTCAATACAGTGCAAAGATTGTATAAGTCATGTTCTGATTGACGAATAAATCAGATCATTTAATTAATAGGCCACATGGCATAACAGAAGAAATCCCATTTATATAGACTGAAAAGAGCAAAAGACCTAAGACTTAAACTTTTATCGCACCACTTCGGACCAAGGCAGCACTAAGACTAGATATCCTCGATAACGGGTAAAGAATAAACAGAAGTCAAAGTGCCAGGTCATACAAGATCGATAAAAACCTTATCTTGATTGTCAACATAGCTGAAACTGTTGAGTATCAAGTCAACATTAGTTGATTGACTTAATCCATATCCAAACACTTGACTTTTACAGGTAAAGGCGAATTTAACTGTTTGGCCGGAATGTCCAAGCAGGTTCCTCCACCGTTCGATACTAGGACCTCTACGTTTCCTAATTTATATGAATGACCTTCCTCAAGAAGTATCGACAGATTTACCACTTCATAACTACATTTCATACACAAATTAATTCAGAAGTAAAATATTATCTTAGAAATCACTAAATAATCATACTTTGTTCATGCAATCAAAAAACGTTAATCATATATGAACGCTTTGAATACTGATTACTAATACCTCTAATTAATGTATCATCTATCATAAGAATGAACATTGGTCGATTAGCAAAGTACAGACATATCTCTTACTAAAATGTATTATTGTGCATTCTGACACGATTTTGAGTCATTTCTACTTGATTTCATAAGACGCATAAATTTGTTTTACATTAGATAATTAGTAATATATAATCAGATAATGTCAAAAATGCACAATAAGCTGACGAACTGACACTCAGTCTCAACTGAAAGGCTTAATTAACATTTTAGTAACTTGGACTCAGTTTACAATCACAAATGAATTCATGTGGGTGGATACTAAACCACAGAACAAAACATTGGTTGCGCGAATTACCAATCGACAGTTCAGTTTTTAATGATGGTTAGTAATGATGTGGCCTTAAGTGACCCTTCTGTTAATCAACAAACAAATTCGTATTCACACACATGTACATTTGTGTTAACTTATCTGCATAAGATCAAGTGTAATCAGATGGAGTAGAGATAAGGAGCATTGTCTATGTCAGTAACTTGCACGTTCACTTCATACTTAGAAAATAAACAACACAAATTTGATTCTGAAATCGATTATATTGATTTTGTTGTATGGGCCAACACTGATTAAAATATAAGAGACAATATCTGAAAAGGTATGTCATCATAATAAAATTCATACGAGTAACACAAATAAAAATGAAATTACAGAAATTCACTATCTCGTGAATTCGGAAGAATAACTCAACGAACGATAAGGACTGTCACTTCATTGCTTATTGACATTCGACAATCACAACCTCAAATGTGTGAGGTGAACCGGTAATGAGCCTCAGACATTTGTTTCCAGCTACTTAGGATATATCGCTGTAGTGTTTCTACAATGGTGACGGAACACATGATGCAGAGATGACTCCAGCTCCTGTCACCTGTTTAGAAGTCGGAGATATTATTTGGCTGTTTAGGCCAGGATTGATTTACTGTAGGACCAAGATATCTACAGTAATTAGTCACTGAGTAATATCCAATTTAATGTTTGTTTCGTGCGAAATGGATATGGAGTTCCATCTTTCTAATCGTGGCCGTTATATTCAACTGAAAGACAAAATTGTAAAATACATTCTTCACCTTCGTAACAACCAATAAAGCATCGCATATTGATTGAAATCACTCCCGCTCCCAAGACATTATTATTAATATTACTCAATTGATTGCTTCATATAACCGCTTATTTGCAGAATTCCTGACTTACTGTTTAATCCGATTTGACATTTTTGTGCGGTCTGAATTACTAGAAATTTGTTTACAATTTGCTCAAATGTGTTCCATTTCGTTTTAAGTGGCGACACAGACTGCAGTTTTTGTGGAAATTGTTCTTCGATACATTCTGCACAGTTTTCTCCGGGTGAACATTTCAAAAACCTTTGTATTCATTATAACCAGTATCAGTGCCATTTGTTTTTCAAATGAGAGTCAAATTTCAAACAAATCGTCTCCAATTACACTCAAGTAAAATGTATACAATGAAAATATGAGGGTGTTCAGTTTGAAGATAGTTTGCATTATAGACTGAATTTAGTTAGAGAAACGGTGTGAGCGAGGAAGATGTGGACATTTCATTCGTCTTTGAAGTTAAAAGCGATTATTTATATGTTGTATTGGTTATGATAGCTCTGATTCGTAAACTGATCTACTAACGAACTGACATCAGCTGAGAACGTTTAACAGACGTGTGAAACTTGAAGGCTATTTCATAGCAATAAAAGTCGTTTTGATGAATACGTACGATTTCTCAATTCCAGACACAGAATGTTCGACTTTCATGTTGAAACGATGCTTCACATTCCCCAACTCAGTCAATTAAAAACCCAACTGCCTGGATTCTTTCTTTTTACAGTGAGTCATGAAAGTCTTCACGTCGCTTCTTTAAATGACTTTAAGTGCATAAAACTATGAGCTATGTTGAGTTGTAAAATAGTGGTTGGAAGTAGTCAACGAGAAAACAACGACGTAGGGTTTCGCGCCATTCGACACTCGTCGGTAAGGTGTATCCGTAGTCTTGAAAGGACTGATGCTTCCTGGTAGATTAGATCCCGTGTCTTCCTGCCTCACAACCAAAAACGTCATCATTACAACTTACTCGATAGAATTTAGTCAGAACAAAGAAGAACTCGACACATATAACACTGATCACTATTGAGACCGATCATGTGTAAGAAGTAAAAATTCTGAGAGCAAATAGAACATGTCGTCAACTACTTTCAATGTGATAACATTCAGTGTTGAAATCCGTCGTTAAAATCTGTTCTACTCTATTCCATTATCAATGGTTAATTCTAACAAACTCTATGTTATATCACACTAATTAAGCTTTAGTAGGAATATCCATTGGATCACTCA